CTATGTAAAATAACTTTTTCTTAGAATTCTTTTTTAAAATATGCACATCTGAACTAGAATTATAATGGCTTCAACACTATGGATTAACATCATATAAGAGACCACAATTATGTCAAAGCAGCCATTTCACTCTCGGAAGGACAAAGTAGATATTTTTGAATGTATAAGTTAAGTGAACAATCTCCACGCATTTCAGTGGCAGGTTTTTTCCCCTCTGGCACTTGCGGTTTCGATGTATCACCCACCAGGAAAGGACATTGTTCTTGAAGATTTAGCAAAAAAGCACTAAAATGTAACCACAAAAGAAGGATTCAAGTATCATTAAGGATCTGATTTAAACCCACAAAAGCAATGAAATTTAAGAGTAAGTCAATTATGATTGACATGTGTCCCTTAACGTATGCTAGATACTGCTTGCTGCACATGCAGGAAGTTATTAAAACCATTTAACAATACATTTTGTGTGATGACAGCCAGATCAAGGAGCACAGTCAATTAAAACAAGAGATAGATAAATTCAAAAATTATGGGAGCTAATTCAGTACAGGGGTGTAATTAAAAGTTCAAGTGGTTATGTAAACCTTTGTGGTTCACTTGTCGGACTGTCAGTCACATGGTAACAAGCTGAAGGGACCCTGCAAAGAACCATGATTTTCCCCTTGGCTGCCTACAGTGGGTCCTCCAAACTCAAACACAGATCTCTACACAGAGGTGATTTTCTGTATAGAAATAGCAGTCGCTGCAGATCCTGCTAAAGTTACTGTGAGCTGTAGGTTGTTTTGTCTGTAAGTCTGACTTCTGAAAATTTTGTTTGTGGATATTAGCATTTGGTCACCATGAAAATTGATATTTGGTATAAAGACACTCATGTTGCTTAAAGATAGAAACAGGTGAAGAGAACCCTGAAATTTGGATTCTATGGTTTGGAAAACCCTTTAATAACAATATGAGAGTCTCTTCAAATATTTGCAGAGTTAAAAAGGGAGGGAGGGAACTGAAAGTACTATGTTTCTGGTACCTTACTTGTTTTGCAGGAGGCACAGCTCATTAAAACACACTCAAAATGATGCTGCTAGGAAAGCAGATTTTGAGTGAATGTTAGTGAGGTCTGCAAATCAGAGTTAAATTCTGCAACGCAAGCACATTCAGCACCTCCCATAGCCAGATGGGATGTGGTTTAGTAAACATTTTTTAGTTGTGAGACCTAAAGTTATTCACACAGAGGGCACAGACAGACCAAAGCTCCTCTGGTAGCTCCTTGTCTAAAAGCCACCCAGTCACATTCACATAGCTCCAACTAATGCAATGATCTAACAGCTCTGGCAGGTTGGAGCCTAAATGGGGTTAGGACAGCTCTATTTCTATCTGCCTATGTAGAGGTAACAAAGAAGGTATGAAATACAGATTCTCGTCCATATTTTGATATTAAAAAAATTCTGTAACTTTTATCAAAGATTGGCTCCTCTCAATATCACTGTCTTTTCTGTCCCTTTTTTTCTTGATTTTTACTACTTAAATTGCAATTTTTTCAGTACTTCTTTTATTACAGCACCTAAAACAGTAATGGACTGATGGTTCATTTCTGCATTTAGGCTTAATAGGAAGAGAACTACAACTTGTGGTATAAATGGTAAGAACATGCTCTAACTCTTTCCTGGCACATTCCATCCAACAGTACAGAACATCTTGTTATGAATTAATACTCAACCTCATACAAGCATTGTCTCCACATTTCAGTAGGGCACAGAACAGTTACAAAACTTCCCCAAGGTCATTGTGAAGTCTGTCAAAACAAGAATAGAACACACATGATTGCCAATTTTTACTTTAGCTATATAATGATTATTTCCCTGACACACAATATCTCTTTATGCATATGTCCTTAGCAATAAAAAATAGGGAAAAGAAATACCTCAGATATATATGATGCAGTCTATAAGCAGAAGTCTCACTAAACGACATGTCTTTCAAATTTTTCCATGAGGCATCAACATCTCTTTAAGGACTTTATCATCGTTACTGACACATAATCATTCCTTGCAGGTGGAAAACATTGCGCTGAGAGATAATTGGGATAGTTATTGGATATGACTCCTCGCTGGTTTTAAGGCAGTATTAGGGCATGATTGCATCCTGCTCAAAGAAAAGAATGAATATTCTCTGCATTTATGTCAGATTGAGTGATTTATGGGTATTGTAAGTACCGCACTAGATTATAAGGTCTAATATTATCTGATGGGATGCAATACAAACTTAAAATATGGATGCTTTCCCCTTAGAGAAGAAAAGCTGTTTTGGCTGTTGGAGTCACAGTTACTGTTAGTTTATCTGGGTGGGGTAATTTGATCTCAGCTTATGTGGAGGAAATTGTCATCTCACAGTGCCACACTCACTGTAAAAGGAACAAATATTGTGAAAACCTTTCCTAAACAACTGGGCTTATTAATGAAAAAAATCTGGTATCTGTAAATAAGCACTTTGCTGATACATTTATGAGCAGTAAATCACTCTTAGGAATCCTATTTGTGGTGGATAGTTTAAATGACTAAGCAAATCTTGGTTCTTCAAATAAGGGCTTGGGTTTCAGATTATGTGGGAGAAAAAGGGGCAGTTGAAGGGAGACACTTCTTCATCCTACAAGATCTTTGAGAGGGAAATCCCTGCCCATAATTGGGGAGGGGAAAATCCCCTACCTTGAGCAAGAAAATTATAGCTTTATATAGCAAAGAAACCTCTAAGGAAGCAATAAATTTGCTATTCTTTTTTCTCCAGGATAATATTAACACATGCTACACATGGACATTCAGGTGTTTTGTTTATTCTAATTGTGTCACACCCAAAGAAGATTAAACAGACAAAACAGTGTGCTCTATGTGAACAGCAGGTGTGAAATACTAAGGAAACAAGGACCCTTTTTTCACGAAAATGAAGGACAGTTCTCTAACAAAGCTAATGTTTTGTCTTTAGTTCAAAACTGGTCTGACCCAAAGCCCACTGGAGTCAATGTAAGTTTCTTCATTAACTTCAGAGAGTTTTGGATCAAGGCCAGTATTATTCCTGTTGTTAGGGCTCATTGTTTAATTTTAGTAAAAGAAAACTCTTTAATTTCCTTTTTTAGAAGAAGTAATTTTAAAAGACCAAGTGTCAGTTGTGTCCATTTTTTTATTAAAAGCTTCTTCACTGGATACTTTGTCAGCAGAAGTATACCATGAGTAAGTCATGGTATATTTTTAAGATTTTTCTCATTCAATGAAAAGGAATGTCAGAAATTAACAGCCCCAAAATTTACACCTCGTGCTATGGAAGGGGGAAAGGGGGAAAAGTAAAGAAACTAGACATACTTTTATTGCCTAGGAAGAATTTTGGCTATTGTTTTGTGGGGTTTTTTATGGGATAGAACGTCACTATATGCAATACTACAGGGATTTCCAGTCATTGTTTCATATACGAAATTCCTATTGAAGTCAATGGTGCTGTTGCATGAAACTCCATGGCAGGATACAGCTGTAAGAGCAGTGAATTTTATCCTAATGTAACAAGTCAGATGACTGAAAAGTGCTCACTAAGCCAGGTGATGACACCCCTGAAGCTGAATTTCTTTTGAAAAAAATAAGAAAGACATAAGACATCAAGCCCAGACTCCCTCTGCTGTTACTCCACAGCCAGAGAAGCTTAGGTGAAGTGTTTGTAACCTTCTCACTCTCTCTGTCATCTGCTCCCCCCTGAAGTTCCAAGAGCTGAAGAGGAGAAAGCAAGCTCTTCCACTATAAGAGCAAAGCTTCTCTGATGCCAAAATTCCAGTTCCACTTTTCCCCAGACCAAACCAAATCTTGTTGCCAAGATGTTATGCCATATCTGCTCTATTTCACAGATACCTGGCAAAACAAACCACATAGACCTTTCAAAGATGTAACAGTCACAGAATGTTTTACTTTTGGGTTTTTTTTCATTATGGTCCGCACTTACATGCTGGATCATCCTTATCTCTGAAAGTCTGGTTTAATGGTAGCAGTTACCATCTCAGCCTAATTCTCAAGTTATCTGTCACCTGAGTCATTAAATTCAAAGTGGTGTCCACCTATATATTTTTAGTTCTTAATTCATATGAGTCCTTCACCATGGGATGCAGGGCAGCAATCACGAAATAAGTCCAGAAGAAACATTCTGTTACTGGGGGGAAAACTCAGCCAGCTGCACCAGTGACATGGGCTGTTGGCAATATTGCAGGGTGTCCCAGACTTGGCTCACTGCCATGCATATGACTGCCTTTCCAAGTGGCCTTCAAAACCAACCATGTCTAGGCATATTGTGTTTAAGACATCAGTTTCATGGATATGATTTCTCCAAACATTCAGCCTTGTGGCTATTCTCAATTTTCCGTTATTATACAGTGCCTGAGGTGATTCTTAAAAACAAATTCTGATGGAAATGTTTTTGTCAGTTTTATGAGGAATGGAAGAACGAATGATATAGTCTCATTGTAAAAAAAAAAAAGGTGATAACACAGCTCCTGTAAAAATGTCTGATTCTGAGATGTGAAATTTAGCATGGGTCTCTTGTGCTTAGTTCCAGGGTAAAAAATAGATTGAGTGATAATAAACAAGAGAAAAATCATACCTGTCTACCTTGGTAGACAAGTAGCCTGAGGAAGAGTGTTTGTGATATCATCCCATGATAGGGGAGAATGCTTTTAGTCTCTGGAAAATGGGTAGCATGTTATATTGGTTCTCAACAAATCTGGGTTTTGTCCTGTTTCTGCCACTGGCCTCCTGAGTGACACCAAGAAAATCATTTTTCTCTATTTTGTCTCTGCTTCCATAGCTTTAAAATCAGGAAAACATATGCTTACCTTTTTTTCTTCTTCTTCTTTTTTCTTCTTTTGTTTTTTTTTAAAGATCTCTCAGACCCCTCAATTAAGGATTCAGAAAAGAGCTAGATAGTGTTAGTATTATTACGAATAGCCTAAATCAACATGGGAATAAAGCAGAAATTATGACTCTACAACTCTACAATTCTCCAGAGTTCAGTCTGGCACAAAATTATTTTGTATAAGAGTACAAAGAAACAAGGTAATAAGGGTACTTTTCTTAAAACCACCACTGATTTAGGGTACTTCAGACTTATGAAGTCCAGTTTAGATGTTTTCTGTTTTTCATGTTTTCTTCTAATGAGATCAGCTCCACTTCAGGAAACACAGAGGACTGAAAACAACAAAGAATGAAAAACAACATCTTTCAAGTCAATTTTATTTCAAATAATAAGTGGTTGCATTTTATATTAAAAAAACATACTTAGTTGACGTTTTAGGAGATCAAATGCTGTGTCCTTTAGGACTACATCTGCATATGTGTGTATGTATGGACACACATGTGCATTTATATACTTTAATTAATGTTTGGTTCTGTAAAGCATTTAGAAGAAATAAAAAAGAATAAATTCTGGTCTCTCAACTATTTTAACTGACAATATCTCATTAAGTTGAGAGATTAATTTTATTCCATGGGCATGGCAAAAAAAGAAGTCAAAAAGTTTACTCAGAGCCAAGGACAACAGCGGAATTGCCTTTTTCAAGAAACATGACTGTACAAAACTTGCAAAGTTTATGGAATCTTTCTGGTTTGTATTGCTTTACAAGATCTGACAGAGGAGTATTGTTTCCAGAAGTGTAACTTCTTAATGTGTTTCCCAGAATTCTGAAAATATGGTATGTAGGTACTAGTGGTCTAAGGGTCACCTGTATCCTGCAGGAATAACCTTACCTATACATGGATAGAAGTAGGTAGTGATATATATAGATGTACTCTTTGGTTTTTTTCCCCAGTAGATTCTTGAGAGTTACACAAAGCTATTGAGATACTAAGCATGTCTTTAGCCCAGGATAAGTATGCTTTCAAATCTTTAAGTATTGAAAAACCTTTCTGCTTTGTTGTTTATTATTATTTAGCAGAAAGCATAACATCCTTCTTCCCCTGCCTCTTCATTTCACTAAATGCCTCACAGGTAGCAGTGAGAGGAGGTCTGAAATTCTAATACAAACTAACTTGTTCCAGAAGTCTCTTCTCAAGTAAATTATCCTGATCGTTAGTACAGCTTCACATGGTATTTCCATGGACGTAAAGCACACGAGACAAATATTTTAAACTGCTGCTCTCCTATACTGACCATGTGCAACCAATTGATTGTCAGCTATGCCTAATTATTTCTTATTTTTTAATAATCTGTGAGCTGTGAAGCACCTATCATGGCTGCCACCCAGACTTTTCAATAACATTAAAACAAAGCAAAACAAAAGAGCCCTCAAATATTGATTCAGTAATCTATCTCCCTCCCTCAAGGAAAGCTTGCCTGCCATAAAATTCCAATCAATTGCACACACACAATTATGAAAATATGGGCCTTAAAATTTCATTCAAAAGCCTGATTATGCTAAATATAGATCAACACGTAATTTCTTCTTCCTTTCTATTTTTAAATCATGTTTTTGACAAATGTTGAAATTATAATGAGTGGTTTAGATTGTTTTTCTTTCTCTTTTGCATCAAAGGGTTTGTGGAGGGTTTCATGGGTTTAATAGCTACGTATTCTTTATTGCTCCTTTAAAATACTAATAAAAGTGATGAAAAGGTATGAAAAATCATCACTGATTGCATAGGAATTCACTTAAAATACGATCTTTGCTCAGTTATCATCTGTGGTGGTGTTTCCTTACAGAAATGGTAAAGGGCTAAAAGTTCTTAATAAAAAACACATGCTTTTCTTTACTCCACCACCACACTTGAATGTATTCCCCTGAGGAAAACTACACCAGGTTAACCACCACAAGGCAGCCTGATGGTAAATTGGATCCATTTTTAAAAATGCATTCCCAGAAGATTCAGTTTAATACGCTGTTTCTGAGAATACCTCTGTGAGATTGTCTTTTCCCTTTGATAGTCTCGCTCTTCATATTTGGAAACAATCTCAGCTGGTGAAAGGCAAGCACAGAAAACACCATTTTGAGACAATAAAGCAACGAAGACCAGAATTACTTAAAATTTAAAAACAAAAAGCAAGTATATGTTGCATTCAATCTTTTTTTCTATCTCTGGACACGCAAAATTCTTTGCACTTAACAGAAGGGAAATTCGGTCATTTCCCTTGAAGTATATAAGAGGCAGTGTTACTGGTCCAAACCTTAAAATATCATAAGGACACTGAGCAGTTTTTATCCATACTTATGGCCAGGTCTTGAATATAATGGACCTTAAGTGAAAAATGTGGTATTAAGGTCTTTTACTTATCTTTTGAAAGTTTCTGTTAATTTGAGAAACTATCCCCACACTTAAAATAGAAATCACTGTGGATTCAGCAGCAGGACTTGTCTTAGGAGAAAAAAATTTTAAACCAGATCTTCCCATTTGCAAATGGCATGTTGGGTTCTGTCAGTGATAATCAATTCCACATAAAACAGCTTCACTTCCTTGTTCAGGAGCAGTGACATAGCCTTGCACATTAAGGGGGGGACAGAGAGGGAGAAAAGGATCTTAATTCAAAGACAGAAAGAGAGGCCTAGAACAAGCATTTGACCTTGCTCTGAAGGAAAAAAAAAAAAAAAGTGCTAAATGAAATGAAAATAAATAAACTGTGACTGGTGAAATTAGAGTATCATATCAGCTGGTTTTCTGGCAAAGCTGCTTTCAAGAATGGATAGAGGGACATAACGCCCAACAATATCTTCCCCCATTGTCTATCATGCATGTAGCTTCAAAAGCACACCAGGAAGGGGCTTCTTCATGAAGGTGTTGGGTACAAGGAGAGTTATCAGGTTAGGAAGAGGCTTGTTTTCTTTGTAATTTCTCACTCACACTGTGAGAGGTTAAAATGGTTAAGCAGTTTTCCTTCACTCCATATTATGGCTCATTCCTACAAGTAATAAAATGAAGGAATTACTTGTAAGGGCAGATATGTCATTATTTTTGCACTCATCCTGACCCCAGCATCTAAAAATACAAAATGCTGGAATTTGTGGAGCAGGTGACATTTTGAAAAAGGGCCTAGGGAAGTCTAATAGTGTAAAGGCTAAATGTACTTAGGAGGTGGAGGAACAGAAATAGAGAGATATCTCTGCTTCTGACCTGGGCCTAACAAGATTGGCCACATAATTCATTTCAATGACTCCTTGTCTGTGCAGTTTACCTCTGGGTTTAGACAGAAACATTTCTCTTTAGCATAATGGATCACAGTGTCAAGTTGCCTACCTTCTGCCTCAGAATGGGGTTAATTTTAGTCTGATCCTCATGTTGAACACACAAGGAATATATATGACTCATCGACCTTTGCCAAAAGCATAAGATACATTCCTGAAACTCAAAAACTATCCACTATTCAAGAAGATTTGGCTGCCTAGTATTAATTGTACTGAGCTTTCTTTTAGGTCTCCAGCGGCATACTGAAGCTGCACAACAAGGTATATAAAATTTCTAAAACACTGTATCACAGTTCTGCAATCCTATTTTTTCCCTTCTTTTTTTTCTTCCTAACAACCTCACCAGTCAAACCAGTCAAAATCAAGTACTTAATTCTGCTTCCACAGGGATACTGCATTATTTCTAGTGTATTAACTAGTGTTCATCCTGTAGTGTCTCATCTCTGAGCATGCTACGGTCTGGAGAATCAGGCATTTGAGCAGGAATTAAAGAAGAATTAACACAATGGTGAGCAAAAGGTCTTTTTACTCTTCTTGATTTGAAAGCAGACATGGCTAAATACTGATCACATGAGTAAAATGTCAAGGAGTCTATGAGAAGTCCAGTAAGGATGGCCATGTAGTTTCAGAAAAATTAAGACATTTCTCTGTATTTCCCTAAGTCTTTTTTGTTGCAATCAACAAATACCTGCTAATATTGTCTGCCCTTCCACTCAAATTTCCAACTTTCATGTGTAGTCAGGCCACCTACAAAGGTGTAAGCAAAGTATTCAGAGGGCAGAGTAGCATAGTCTTAGTAAGGGAATCTTAGATACTTCCCATCTCAGAAGACCTAGACTTTTTTTTTCACCTTACTTTTTCAGAGTAGATTTGACCAAAGGCTAAAATCCCTGTTACGCTGCAGGTCATAACAAAAAACTCAGGGGCTTTCACTTAAGGAGACTGTAGCAAACTTTGTTGCTGCAAAATTGAACTGAGTCAAAAGAGCAGATATGTCAAGCAACCTAGTGTCATTTCTTAAGAGGCATCTTTTTACCTACTACAGTGGCAGCCTTTGGTGCAGCAGGAAAGACACTTGCAGTTCCCTATGAACATGATCTTATATTTCACACGGCCAGTTCTTCTGCTTCCCCAAAGCATAATGATTCATGAGATTTAGCCAGGAGGCCTACCAAAAAGTGTCCAGTCACACATGGCTTCATCATTTACTGCTATATTTACCTTGCCCTCCTTATACCAATGTTTCTTCCCTATGCCCATCTTTCCAGCATAGAAACCAAGCAGACCAACAACACTGGGGCTGCTGCAGCTTTGGAAACATGCTTATCTAGCAGTGTCCCTCTTGCCTTTCCTACCTCAGAGAATATCAAAGCCTATCTCTTCTTCCCTAGCCTCACAGAGACACCCCTTTAGTCAAAGCAAGGCCATTGCTTGCTGTCAGAGCCAGCTCTCATCAAGGGCAACACCAGCTTTTTGCCACGAAGCCCCTCAGTGCCAACTGCAGTGGAAGACACTGTCACTGCACTGATAATTTTTTTCAGAAGTCTAAGTCAACCCCTTTGAGACACAGAGAGCCTCCTGCTATAGATTGGCATAGTTCCATTAAATTTATGCTGAGTTACACTATTTGCAACCATAAGTCTATCCTCTTGTGTATCTGAATTATGAAACAGATTTTAGTTACAGTATCCCACATTGCTCCTCAAGTAATAAACCATACAATATTCTCAATCTCCTTAGATGCATGTTTAGTAATACCTTGTAACGTTTTTTTATAGTTTTCCTACCTTCACTAATTTCATTAATTTAATGGTCAATGTCTTTATGCTTATTGATTAATTAATTATGCTTTATGCTTATTGATTTATTATTGCTCAGATTAAAAATGGTTGTTAAGTACAGAACAACAGAACTACAAAAGAAAATTGTAGTATTTGATTAAAATACAACTGGTTAAAATAAAGAGGTTCTCGTTTGTTCTCTAGTTATAGCTTTTAACCAGAGCAGATAATCAAATTCCAGATTTTGGATGCATATGAAATGTGACCCCTAATCTAAATGACAAGTAACCTCTAGTATAATGGGATGAAGCAAAAACAATAGCTCCAAATAGTCCTAAAATTTGGGGGGTTCTAAATCTGGATTTGAAATTTATGGCTTATGCCTACTCAAATAAACTTCTATTTAAAACCATATTTCAATAAACTTCTATTTTGTAGTTTGAGCCTATTTAAGTAGCCCTTTAAAACTTAGTTCTATTTATAGGTCCCAAATTCATTTACAGTATCATTTTTTATTATTTTAGGACTAGCTACATCTTTATGTAAAGAAGAACCTTTCTTCAGAAGATACTTCTCCCTTCATCCATGACATAATCTCAGGGATGCAACAGAAATGGTTGCATCATGTGTTTATTATTACAAATAAATCACTTATTGGCAGTGTTTCAAGACAAGAACATATAAGAAATATGAGTGTGAGAGGGTGAAAATATTTTAGTTACTCTTATTCCCATAATTTTTTCTCTTTTCTTTGTTGTCTTTGTTTTAAATAAATTTAGTATAGGAGGTTTTGAATTAAGTTTAATTGAAGAGTAGTCCATGTTCTCAATGAGTATTTCCCAAAATGGATAAGACTTAAGGCTATTGCTAAAAATTATGATCTTGTAATATGGTGTTCAAAAACATCACCCAAAATGAAATTATCACAATTATTTTTGTATAGACCATTCTTTTTCAGCAGGTTTTCTGCCAGACCATTCTTTTTCAGCAGGATCCATTCTTTATTATCCACTGCCATCAATTTATCCCTGTTCTTTTTTCTCCTTACTCATCTCTTTCCTTTTCCCCAAATCCCTGCCAGTCTTTTTCTTTCTATTAGTACCCCTTTCCTCCCGTTTGGGGCCAAAAAACAATAGTGAACTCAGCTGATCCTCAGAGATCAAAAGTATATGTGACTGTGCTAGAGTCACCTTGCAGTATTAGGGCTTTTATAGCTCTTCCTTCTTATCTCCCCATTAGCACTTGAACTATACCTCATTTTTATAAGGCTCCAAGCTCTCTCTCAGGAGAGATGAGCAAGGAAACAGATGACAGTTGCCACTTCTAGGTTTTCCAAAAGTTGGCAATCAGAGTGAGAAGTCATGAATCCACAGTACTGCTGCAATATCATTTTCTGTAGACCTAAGACATAAATTGTCATATGATTCCTTTAGGCTCCCTTACCTCATATGCTATGTTTTTGTTTTAACAAAGAAAAAGGTCCATCCTTTTTTCCATTTCAGCTGAGGAGATATGACAAAAGACAGAGTTTTCATGAACTAATTACAGTCCTTTGGAAATTACCTTTTGTGTTAGGAAAATATGATTTTTTTTCTTTTTTTTTTTCCTGCTGATGAGAAAGTAAACAGCATGAATAAAAGGTACTATTTAAAGAAAGAGTACAGTTACATAACCTTTCCACAAAATTCAGACAAGTTTTTAGCTTCCCTTTGCAAAAAGAAGTATGCTATTTCCACAGAATTATACACACAATAATCTATAAAAAGATTTCTATATGGAAAAAAAATAGAGGTTTTTTTTTCCTTCGGAAGAGAGTATTGCCTAATGTCACAGTGTACATTCACCATTCAACAATGCCATCACATTTTGCCATATTCTAACAGTATACAGCAGAACCTGCCAGCATATACTCCTGTCTCCCTAGTTTGAAAATAAAGGAGAAATGTGTGCACAAAATGACAGACTCCAACCTCTTATGGTGCAGGTTCACAGTCATCA